AAAGGGAAGGATCTATAGGATGGCCCCTGCCGAGTTAGATGAACTTCGGAAGCAACTCAAGGAGCTGACAGAGAAGGGATGGATTTGGCCTAGTACTTCCCCTTACGGATCACCTGTGCTATTCGTACCAAAGAAGGGGGGTACTTTAAGGATGTGCATTGACTATAGAGGCCTCAATGCCATCACTGTGAAGAACGCAGAGCCTCTACCTCGCATAGACGACCTATTGGATAGGGTGCAGGGATGCAAGTACTATACAAAGATAGACTTGAAATTCGAATATCATCAAATCGCAATAAGACCTGAGGACCATCACACGATAGCTTTTCAGACTCGTTATGGTCTGTATGAGTTTGTAGTGATGCCTTTTGGTCTTTGTAATGCGCCGGGTACATTCCAGCACGCTATGAATCGGATCTTCCATGACCATTTAGATAAGTTTGTCGTAGTCTATCTAGACGACATTCTGATCTTTAGTAAGTCTGCCGAGGAGCACGCACAGCATGTTGAGACAGTTCTCTCACTCCTGCGACAGCACAAGTATAAGGTCAACTTAGAGAAGTGTGAGTTCGGTTGCACAAAGATACTATACTTGGGTCATGAAGTATCCGCGGAGGGAATTAGGCCGGAAGATGCGAAGGTGGCTAGTATTCCAGACTGGCCACGACCTCAGACAGTCACTAAGGTCAGATCATTCTTAGGAATGTGCGGCTACTATAGAAACTTCGTTAAGAACTATTCTACAGTCGCCTCTCCTTTGACTGATCTAACTCGACTTGACACACCGTGGGACTGGAGTGATGAGTGTGAGGGTGCTTTCAAGAGATTGAAGCATGCACTCATGAATCATGAAGTTCTCATGGTTCCCGATCCACAGAAGCCATTCATAGTGACCACTGACGCAAGCCAATACGGCATTGGCGCAGTGCTGGCTCAGCAGGATGGGAAAAAGTTGAGACCGATTGAATACATGAGTAAGAAGATGCCATCGAAGAAGCTGGCTAAGTCCACCTACGAAAGGGAACTCTATGCTCTCTACAAGGCACTTCTCCATTGGAGATACTTCCTTTTGGGAAGGTTCTTCTATCTGAGGACTGATCATCAGACCCTCAAACGGATCAAGACTCAACCGGCTCTTTCTGATGCACTCAAGCAATGGATTGAGGTCATAGACCAATATGACTTCAAGCTTGAGTACTTGAAGGGAGAATACAACAAGGTTGCAGACGCGCTATCCCGTAGAGCAGACTACCTAGGTGCGCTAGTTTCCGAATTTGGCGTATCTAATGAAGTAACCCAATCATTGGTGGGAGCCTATCAGGAAGACCCTGTCGCGATGGACATCATCCACAAACTTCAGGCAAAAGACAAGGCCACAGAAAGTGAGTTTGTGATGGTGGATGGGCTAATCTATCTTGATAAGGCCGGAGTAAAGAGATTGGTAATTCCATCTAGTGAACAGTTGCGTAGTTTATTTTTAGGCGAATGTCATGACGCAACTGGGCACTTTGGCTACAAGAAAACGAGTGCAAACTTAGTACAGCGATTTTGGTGGCCCAGAATGTAAGATGACGCAAAAAAGTATGTTGAGACTTGTCAGGTCTGTCAGCGGGACAAGCCGCGAACTCAAGCACCGCTTGGGTTATTGAAGTCTTTACCTATTCCTGATGGTCCATGATTGAGCGTTTCCATGGATTTCATGGACACTCTTGTGACCAGCAAGAGTGGTAAGAGGCACATTTTCGTCATCATTGACCGATTCACCAAGTACGCTAGACTAATACCAATGCCAGAGACAGCCAGGACAGAATACGTCATCAAGTTGTTCAAGGACAACTGGGTAAGGGACTTTGGTTTACCAAAGACCATCATTAGTGACCGAGACGTCCGATTCACAAGTGAGTTGTGGAAGAAGACTGCGGAACAGATGGGCAGTCAACTTCACATGACTTCAGGAAATAATCCCGAAGCCAACGAACAACGCGAACAAATGAATAGAGTTGTATAGCACTTGCTGAGGCATTACATCAAGCCCAACCAGGATGACTGGGATGAGCAGTTACCTCTCATCGCCAGTCTGTACAACAATGCTATACATAGCAGTACCGGCGTTAGTCCTAACCAGCTGCACTTAGGATGGAAGCCTAGATCAGCATTAGACTTCCTCCTACCTGAAAACCAACCTGCTGCAACTCCACGCACACTTGAATACGGTGTGCAATATGAGAAATTGCTGCAAGATGCTGTTGAACATATGAAGAAGGCTCAACAAGCCATGATCGCTTCTGAGAATCAACATCGCAGACAGTCCACATTTTAGGTAGGGGAACGTGTTTGGGTCAAGGCTAGTGAGTTAGAACAGGAGTTCGGAATATCTCGCAAACTAATGCCTCAGTACTTTGGTCCCTGGGAAGTCTTGGATGTAGTGGGAGATGAAATGGATGGTCCTACGTACGTCATTCGTGTCCCTGGACACCTAAGCACTCACCCAGTCTTTCATGCCTCAAAGCTTGCACCTTTCGCTGAGACTGATCAATTCCCTTCCAGGAGATCGATGCTGCCCCCAACCATGGATGGACAAGTCGACATCGACGATATTGTGGATCACAGGGATATGCCTTTTCCGAAGCCGCTGGGTCGAGGAAGACCTCCAACCCAAGAGGGAGTACCAGATCAGATTCAGGCATCATACGGATCCGAAAGAAGATCGGTGGTTTACCCGGGAGGAACTGATGGAAACAGCTCCTCAGGTGGTGGCAGATTATGAACGGAAGCTAAAAGGGAAGGCACCTGCGAAGTAAGCATCTCAGCGGACTTTCGAAGCTAAGGGGGATGGAATGTGAGGATTGAGCCCTCAAGTAGGGGCCTTGCCATGATGTACATGTTCTGGGCTAAGGCCCCAGNGGTGGTAGTGGTGGTGGTAGTGGTGGTGGTGGTGAAGGTAGTGGTGGAGGAGGAGGGGGATCTCAATATTCGCTTGCAGTTTCTCACTGCAGCTTTTTGAACTCTTATACAAAAGTGACCCATCTCTTTATTTTCTTTTTAATCTAAACAGAACTGACCTGTCTCAGTGGCGATTGAGTCCTGGATCCTCTTGTGCTTTGTGATGAGCTAAGTGGTGATTTGATGTTTCTTTTGGCACTCCTGGGACGGGGAGATCCTCCAGAGTAGTTTCGCCTCCCTTCAGTAGACGCCAAGCCTTTGGAGGAGATGGCCGTGACAGCGGACACAGCAGGGGATGCAACATGGGGAGGTCCTCTTGCCAATAAGTTCTGTTGTGCTTCTTCAAGGCAGGCAATGAAGTCGTCATGGCGCACACGAGGCAGAGATACCCGAATGTATGGATATGTGCCCTCACAATAAAGGAAGAAGTCCGCAGGCTCATGGAATGCTACCTGGCATATCCACAAAGGTAAATTCCAAGCCAAGCCCAAGTCAAGTTCAGGTCAAGTCCATGTCAAGTGAAAGCCAAGTTTCAAGTTAAATGCAGGTCTTCCCAGGCAGTGAATAAAATACGAAGTGTGTGCCTGGCTAGAAGCCCAGTTCTGAAAACTCTTAAAAAACAAAAAACGAAAAAGAAAAAAAGAAACTTAAGAAAGATTTCATACCCATTCCATGTGCCTGAATAGTACTTTATGAACAAATCATGAGCTCAAATCCCCATGGAATCAAATGAAGACAATAGTGTTTTTTTTAATTTTTTTCTGTTTTTTTTTTTTTTTTTTTTGCAAAAGAACTTTGTATTGCAAGCCGGGAAAAAATGGGCCCGGCCCTCACAAAACAGTAGGGCGGTTGACGGCCTGAGCGAGGCTCACCGGCCAGGCCCAGCCTTTGGCCGCCTGGGAGAGTGGCCAAGCCAACGCAAAGCAGGGAAAGTATCAACAAACCCCAAAAAATCTAGTCTAACCGACAGCCAAAAGGAGAAGAAAGTAACCCTTGTGATGCAAAAACCGACTCCTAAAAAATATAATCCAACCTGCTACCAAAAGTGACACCGTACAGTGCACGTAACCCATTGAAGCTGCCAAAAACCAAGCTGAAAGCACCGAGGGATCCGCAAAAATGAAACCAACTTACCCTACCTAGAACAGAGAAGTGTGAGGATTGAGCCCTCAAGTAGGGGCCTTGCCATGATGTACATGTTCTGGGCTAAGGCCCCAGCAAGCCTCATGCCCACCCTAAGTGAAGGCGGGCCAGCAAATCAACAAGAGCCCTCTGTGCCAACATTTCACGAAGTGGGGTTCATACAGTTGCAGCACGCCAGTTGGTTGGAGTGCACCGAGTCTCGGATTTCGGCAAATGCTGAAATGCCCAGGGCCCCTGAGTTAGTTAGGCCCTGGGCACTCGAACGTGAGGCCGACAATGCATGCTGGGTAGAGAGGCCGAAAATGCCAAAGGGAAATCGGCCCACTATCTGAATCAGGCCACAGGCCTCGATGAAAGAGGAGCAACTGCATTGCCCCGGGGCCCAACTGTATCGAGTTGGCTTCAGCCTCTGGGTCCCGGTCACAGGCTGAAGGGAGGCCGCCCCCACGCTGCATTGGCATATAGGCAAGCAGGGCGAGGGAGCAAGGATCTTGGCCAATGCTGGCATTGCGGGCACGCTGTGCGGATGCATGTGTGCTGCGCTGTGCAGAGCTGCGCTGCGCTAAGGTCAAGCAGGCTAGCGCTAGGCAGTAGGGCGCTGCCTGCACGCAGGGCACTGGCGGCATAGTCGGGCCGCATGAGGGTGCAGTGAGGGTGAAGGTCAAAGGTGGTCTTCGGAGGTGAAGGGCGCTGTGTGGGTAACAAGGGAGAGTGTGGGGAAGAGGACACGCACCTGGTGAAGGTGGAGGTCGGCATTGGTGTTGACATCATCACTCGCTGGTAGTCAAGTTGTCTGGTTGCTTTTCATTGCTGTAGTTGTAGGATAGGCTGTAGAGTAGATAGGGCGCCTGGCGCCAAGAGAGAGCTACATTTGGGTTATGCTGTTGGTGTTGCCCTGTTGGGCATGGACATTGACTCACGATTCTTCTGTATCATTCTCAATTGGATGGTTACTCGGTTCCATGTGCTATCTGCTTTGGCTTTGACTACTTGGACTTCAGTGTGATTTTGCATTCTGGATTTCTGTGCTTCGTCCATACTCATGTTCCTTGCAGAAGCCAGCAATTTCAACTGAAAAATAAAAATCCATTTCATGCCAGAATTCGACCAAGAAAAGCAGAAAAACTTAAAAAGTATCAGCGAACCCCTAAAGGAGAAAGAGTTAGACCTTCCGAGAGACACTCATTGAAAGTAATTCGCGACGACAAAAAAAGTGAGAAAAGAAGACAAACAAAGAATATTCTGTTTTCGCGTACCAGTCAGAAGAATAATTCCAGCTAACCCGGGTTATCCTAAAAATATCTAAAGCTCGTCTAAAACCACAACGTTCACCTCTAATCCACCCCTCTCTTCATTCCCTCATGACCTCCTCCCCTGTCGCCACTGCAAGACCGGTTGCCAATGGGTTACCGGATAGCAGGGAGGCCAACTCGTTGCGAGGAGTGTCTTCATTGACTAGCTGGTCGACAGGGTTCAGGATCCTCTGTATAGCCCCGAGCCAATGACAAGTTTCCCTTCCTGGGTAACAGTTGCAAATTGCCTATTAGATGCCCATGTGCGCAGAAACCAAATGGCTGGGGCACGGAACCCCGGAGAGGGCAGCTCTGGCAGCAGCGCTGGTGACCAGGCACAAACTTTTCTTGGCCAACGAGGGAGGATGGGTCAAGAAAATCAACACATTGACGGAGAAGAAGGATGCATTCTTTTTGAAGAGTTAGATCGACAGTGGAGCTCGAGAAACTGCAGAAGACGCTGAGTGAGGACGCCGCCCGGCCGGGCCTGCCCTGCCGGGCTGGGCGCAGCCGGTTGGGCCCGGGGGGCCCGCCCGGGTAAAACGGGCAGGACAAAAAACTGCCCAGAATTGTTTTTTTTTTTTTTTGAAACCGGGGTCGTTCTGCGCTCGGCGAGAGGACCCCGAATCTGCAATAAAATTTTGGTTTTGGTGTGGGGATGGGGGGTTGGTCTGGGTGGGGGGTGCTGGGGTTTGGGGGGTGTCTGTGATGGGGCGCAGATGCATTTTTTTCTTTTCTTTTTTTTTTTGTAAGGGGTGTGTGTGTATACAAAGGGGGGCGAGAGAGAGAGAGAGAGAGAGAGAGAGAGAGAGAGAGAGAGAGACATAACGGCTCCCCTTAAACCACCAGTACCTCGGCCAGCTTAGAAAAAAACTCGCGGCTGTTAACGCGCTGCGACTTTCGGGGTTCGGGGTAGGCTCGGTACTGGGATGGCAGTCCAAGCTGGTGGGCCCAAGAAATTCGACATATACACAGGGCGGGTTGAGTGTGCGTGTGTTTCTACATGCTGAAACGAGCGGGGGAGAGTGTCAAGTAACTAAAAACAAAAAGAAAAACAAAAGATAAATACGGTTGGGCTGTAGAGGAACAGCACACTCACAGAATGTATCTTCCTGTTTTTATGGCCTGCTACATACGAGTCTGGACGCCAGCATGTAGTATACCCGATTTCGTTTCTTAGTTTTTTGCTGGTAAAAAAAGAAGAAAAGAATAACGTCTGCTGTACCTGATGTGGCCCCCCGTGAGAAACGGGGAGGATCCAAGTGCCTGACACAGAACGGGAAAGTGCCAAGAAAGGAAAAAAAGAAAAGAAACAAACAAACAAAGGAGGAACAACACTCTCACGGAATGTATCTTCCCGTTTTTATGGTCTGCTACATATGAATCTGGAGGCCAGCATGTAGTATACCCGATTTCATTTCATTTCTCTCTCTCTCTCTCTCTCAGACACACACACACACACACACACACACATACAAAGGGGTTCCGAAAGGGGGTCTGAAATCCCCCGGCAGGTGAGTGCGCTGGGAGGGCCCGGCCCCCAACCAGGTGCCCTGCCCGGCCAGGCCGCCCGGGACCTCCCCCGGGCCCCTGCCTGTCACCCGGGCGGCCCGGATCCCCACTCAGAGAAGAAGACCATTAGCAGGTTATGGACGATCAGACGGTTCTACAGCCTCAAGACGACGTGCGGCCAACACCAGACCTATGGATCATCTCATGGAATATCAATGGTCTGGCTACCATCCTTCAAAATCAGCAAAAATGGGGTAACTTCACAGATGCAACAGGATGGTATGGGAGAAGACCGCCGGACATACTCTGCCTACAGGAAACGCACCTGACTGAATCAGCGGTACACAAACAAGTACAAAAGGAAATACTCAATCGGCTTCGCTGGGTTCACTTAGCTCTATGGGCACCGGCCCCGACGGTCGGATCAGCAGGCACAGTCATTCTCGTACGAGGTAACACAGCAGTCGCACAGGACATAACCGTAGTGGCGGAACACATAGACCACACAGGAGGGAGATGGGCGAGGCTGGACTTCTACTACAAACAAGAGCACTTTTGTCTTCTCTCGCTTTACTGCCCCAACGCTCGTCAACACAAAGCCGAATTTATCAGCTCCCTCTTACCACAATGCACCACTCTTGCGCACTTACTACTGGCAGGTGACTGGAACGCCACGCAGGATCCGGCTATGGATAGGTTGTCAGGAGGTACAGAGGGCTTGGACGGAATGGCGTGGGAAGAGTCGGCCCCCATACATAACATGATGACGGAACAGCAGCTGGTGGATCCTTACCGAACCCTCCAACCCACTCGCAAAGCCTTCACCTATCTCAAGCGCAACTGCAACCAACACATCTCTGCATCGCGCATTGACTTCTTCCTCGTATCTGAAAGCCGAAGGGGTGCAGTACAGTCAACAGGCATTAGCGACCTACCGTACTTGCCAGGTCTACACCACAAGTTCATCTATTTGCACCTTGTTCTTGAAGCAGCGGTCATGAGAGGCCCAAGATTCTCTAAAGTCAACAACTCACTCCTTGACACACACACTATGAAGCAGCACATCGTGGAGACCTGCGAAGACTATGGCACACATGCCACATCCTTCCCACAACTGATGGGAATCTCTCCATGGCCACGGCCAAGGCCTCCCATCCTAGCAGCAAGAAGAACAACAAAGGAGAAAGAAATGGAAGCAGTATTGAGACTGTCCGACAGGAATCTCGTGCCCCAGTCAGGCTCAACCCAACTGGAGGACGCACTGGACGCGGCCAGACAAAGAATGGCAGAGTGGAAGAGATGGAAAGAGGAGGGCCTACGCCTTCGGGCACGAGTCAAGGAGTTGGAACAAGGCGAGAAGATGACAAAGTACTTCCAGAAAA